TTTACTCGTCATCAGGACAACCGACTGCGACTCGGTCTGACCGTTCAGTCGAGACTCAGGCCCAGATGGGGGCGATTGGGAGGGGACGGTAGAAACGCAAGTCTTGCTCCAACTCGAGCCTTGGAGGATGTTGAGCTGAAAAACCGCCGGTTGACTCAGGTACCGAAGAAGAAGCAACGAGTCAATGTCTATCAAACAGAGCCTAGTCCTCGGTTGCGCAAAAGGCTGCTGACAACCGAGAAACCGCCAAATGGTACCGGCAACCGAAACAACGCGGATGACGCGTATTCGGTGGTTGGTGAGAAAGATACAATTCTGTTGAACAATCCAATCGCCCTATTTTCCCCGGCAACTAGTCAGGACTGCCGTTTGTGGAACATGCAAGAGGCGAAGACGACCAGATCTCTGAACTCGGTGTTACGTGATCCGGACAAAATGAATTTGAGGATAAGGCCACATTTTCTGTTGACGCACCAAAAGTTCTATGTCATCCAACCTGCCCGATACAGATCAGAGGTTCGAATTGACTTTCGCAGACGACTCGCTGACGAGGCTTCACTGGACGACAGTCGATTTGACGACGTCTTCAGTGAAGATGGTGGTCTAACTCTGGCCAAACTGGAGGCCGAAGCGGATGCCAAGAGAATGGAGGAGGAGAATGAAGAGGAGGAAGATGTGGCCTCAGTTAAAGCTATTCCATGCCGTGGCGTCGCCTCGCCCGATTCTGATAATTCTCTCAAAAAGTGCCAAATTGGACAGTTCAAGGTGAATATAGGACAGGGTTTAAGTCATCGCCTGCAGCAGAGGCCTAAAAGAGACGCAAAAGCTCAGAAACACGCAGACGAAGTGGACAAGCAGAGTAGAGCCTATTCCACAACCTTGCGATCTCGTGGATTTAAAATGCAACGAACTCGTTTCTATAACGGGGGCCATGGTGCCGGTGACAATTGTGGACTCGACGATGGATCGGAGGAGAATTTCTCCGTTGTAAGACAGCTAGGCCGATGTGTTTCGGGTGAGCTATCGCAACAAATTAATCCGACAAGACAGCTCAATGCCTTCTGTGACAGTTCTCAGTCTCATCACATCTTTTCGGGCTCTGGGATTTCACAGTGCGGTCAATTCGACTATCAAAAATCGATTTCCAACGCCTCCCCGGAGGAAGTATCCAAAGGCGAAATGTTTCCAAGGTTAAGCGACTGCGAGACTTTGGTTGACAAGGCTTTAGAGAAGAAAATGTGCGAACGGGAAATACAAACTGAACTGAGCGGAATGCAGGTTGGCTGATTTTACTATAACTTAAAGTAGACATTTGATAAATCCGATCTGGCAACTATAGGTCCCTTACCATCTAAACATTTTTGCCTAAAATGTACCACTACAAAATTTTCAAAAACTGCATTTACCTATTTAAAAAATCCCATAGGAAAGATAAACACAGCACTTGCAAGAGCAATACGAAGGTCCGACAATCTAAAAAATTGTTCCAACAATTAGTTAAAGTTATTTTACTTTAATTTTTTTTCCAATTTATCTCAATTTAAGAATAAACCTACTTAATTAAGTTGCAACTTTATTTGCTTACTCAATATATTTCATTTCATTTT